CCAAAACAATGAGTAAGTGCCATCAAATAATAAACCATATGGCAAAAAGAAATGGCTACGACCTAGCTTTGCATCTTAAAATACAACTTCAAGTATATCGACAATTAAATTAACCATCCAAACCATTTAAAGGCATCTTATTCTGATTGAATGTTTTACACAATTCCAAGGGCTGTTCATACTAACAAAAAACGAATATATTTAAGAATGACTTTTCTAAGAAAATGTATGTTGACATTTGATCTTGTAGAGTTTCTCCTTGTATTCAGCGGCGGTTTTCGCTAAGACAATATATTTTGTATAATTTATTGCACTTGCTGAATAAGTATTTGTTTAAGCTTTCATTTGCGAAATTATTAATGTCAAAAAATTGGATGTCTTGGAAAACATTGGTGTGGACCCGCAATCTCTCACACGCACAGCAAGGTGTACCACAGGCGTTGACTTAAGAGAAAGTGCATGTTCCCTGAGTCTCACATTGATGTACCTCCCAGATTGTCCTAGATGCACCTTTCCGCATGACAACGGTACTTCGCATATAACGCCACTGTGACATTCCACGAACCTTCTTGCATGGTTGATTTTACATAGGTCATAGGTATCCTGCTGCTCGTTGACTTTTGAACATATTAGTTTAAGTTTGTCGGGCGCTGGTGAAGAGGATGATAACTTCAAACTTGGCGGCTACTCTTTTGAAGTTATTGAATAGACGGTGAAGGTAGGGCATTACCACAGGTCGTATTTTCGTTCGGTTTCGACTTTCTCGTTGGCGTGCTTTTAACATGATCACAACGACGGTGGAAATAACTGGAATTGGGTACCCTGAAGCGCGAAGTCGCTGCACTTGGATGTTAAAGCTCTCTCCTGCTGTGTGGTCGCAACACTTCTTCAGAGCCGCCCCCAACGTACTGACAACGATTCCTCTCTTGACGAGCTTGGTATGTGCGGAGTCAAATTTCAGATGACGTTTCTTCTGAAGTAAACAGAATTTGGAGAAAAGAAAAGTGTCACGAAGCTACTACCTTCAGTGCGCTGAACGTAGTAACGTAGTGAACGCTGAACGTAGTTAACATAGTAGAATTTGTTGCAGGACCCCTTTAAGCGGTGGGGCAGGCGAGCTTGGAATGCCTGCCTCCGGCCACGGCACAATCATTCTCACTGTCTTGAATTATGGTCAAAATGTCGTCACCGAAAATTAAAAAAAAATAAATAAATGGGGAGCCGTTTTGCTGACTAACGCTGTCAGAAGGCGCAAACGTTTCCGAAGTTTTGCGTACCTTAGGTTGGGGACTTAATTCGTAGATATCCAGTATTTCTATGGGTACATGTCTTAGCTGTTCAAAGTGCCGTTTCAGGTATTTCCATCGATCATGCGAAGCTCATACGTGCGGTTCCATAGAACTCGGACGACAACGCCTTTAGAGTATTTCTTGCGGCTCCCATAGTCTCTTGCCTAGGCTTGGTCGTTCTGATGCAGATGCCATTTTTCCATGTTCCGCGATGTGTGTTGATTTGCCTGCCCTGTGTGCACTATATTGGTTATTGATGTGCTAAGAGAGTCAAGCCTTGAGCAATATTTTTTTCTTGAAAACATTTTCGCTGGTGTTGATCAATTGCTATCTGCGGGGTCGTTCGTTATTCCACCAAGACGTACAGGTGCCTATTGCCGATGCCTTGACATTCACCAAGTACTTGATCGCGTTTAAGGATTAAAATTAACTGTCGGGCTAGTTGGTTAAACATCTTAATTACAAAAGCGCAGAGGACAAGGACAGAACAAAGAATGAACAGGGCAAGCGCTTACTAACAACTGATTGTTTAATACATAATAAGAGAAAGACCAAAATGAGAGGAGAGTTAGTAAATTAATATGCCAATTGTATTCCCACGTAAAACGATTAAAAGTTATTTGAGAAAAATTCACAAAATTAAGAGACTGATAAAAAAATATAAATAAGAAAAGCAACCAGATTAAAAAAAAAAAAAAAGGTTGAGGTACCGTATCTCTTTCTCGGACAGTGAAATTGATGGTGTGCTAATGCACGTGTCTCCTTTCTCGATTATAGTTTTTGCCTCAAAAATTTCTCAGGCTCTCTTGCTCCGAAAGTGTTTGAGCACTTGCGTTTGATTGGATAGAGGAGTGCATGTACGGCCTCTGGTATGTATGGCCAAGTGTCCTGACCGTGACGCATGTAGGAAAAGATCATGCTCTCGTAGTGGTACATTTACGCAGTGTACGACAAGTGTTCAGATATGTTGGTGAATATCTGGTCCTGCTGCATAAACGACCTGAACAAAATGACCCAACTGTGAGCAATATTTTCACCACGTTCCTTGCTCAATCTCATTGACTAAGGTTTACCTACGAGCTACCAGATGAAAGCAAGCTTCAATTCCTAGGTATTCAACATGTTTGACATAGAAACCACGGTCCAAAAAATCACTTCTACCGTTTGATTCGGCCCATTTTAAAATTATCAGGAGAGGAATTGTAAAAAGCAGCCTCATAGCAGCCTTGCAAAAGTCATGCGAGCAGACAGCGAAGGAGATTTTTGAGGCACAAGTTCAAAAACTACATGAATCTGGGTATACCAGTTCTTTAATGTTCGATGTAGCAGAGAGCCTGACCACTCACAATGAAAGAAGAGGAAGAGGTAAGACACGCCGCACATCAGTGATACCCTACCAACATAAAGTATCACACAACTTGAACCGAATAGCGTCTAAATATGACATACAGGTTGTAACATCAGCTCATGACAAACTTAAAAAAAAAAAAAAAAACTGTGTCCAGAAATCAACTCACAGAACGAAAGACAAGAACACTGCTCAGTGCACCACGCGCATAAATATATCAGCTGGAACGTCAACATCGTTTACAAAATTCCGTGCACATGTGGGAGAGTGTACGTCAGTCAATCTGGGCGCTGCGTAAATGTGCGACTCCGAGAGCATGATCTTTCCCTACATGCGTCACCGTCAGGACACTCGGCCATACATGCCAGAGACCGTAAATGCACTCCTCAATTCAAAGAAACGCAAGTACTCAAACGCTTTCGGAGCCAGAGAAAGTTTTGAGTAAAAAAACTCTAATAGAGAAAGGAGACACGTGCATTAGCACACCATCAATTTCACTGTCTGAGAAAGAGATAGGGCACCTCAACCTTTTTTCTTAATCTGGCTGCTTTTATTTATTTTTATTTTTCTATCAGTCTCTTAATTTTGTTCATTTTTCTCAAATAATTTTAAATCGTTTTACGTGAAAATGCAACTGGCAATTTGATTTAGTAAATCTCCTCTCATTTTCATCTTTCTCTTATCATGCATTAATCAATCAGTTGTTAGTAAGCGTTTTTCCTGTTCATTCTTTGTTCTGTCCTTGTCCTTCGCTCTTTTGTAATAAAGCGTTTAAGGAATGGTAGGTCTTAAGTTGTTCTTATATATATGGGCCAGGCAACTCAACAAGGTAGTCGGGAAGATGCGCCCACGATACATTTGGCAAATTTGTCATTTATTTGAGGAGCTAGTGCTCCTTCTCTTTATCCAGCGGATCAGAAAGGCGTGTCGATCCCGTATGACTAAATTTCAGGAGGTATACGCACGTGTTAGTCCTCGGCGGTGAGACTTTTAACGTGAAACGATTTTTGGCTAGGTGCTCGCCCTTTCGTGAACCCAGAAAAAAGAGAAATAGGGTGTGTAGTTGAGATAGTAGGTTCGGTCATGTTGAAAAGACATTAAAACATTTTCAGCATAACCTTTTCAGCATAACCTTTTCACTTTGCCAGGCAGCCGTTGTCCATGGGGGGCCGTAGCTCCGGGCAAGTCGCCGGCTAGCGGCGGCGATCCAAGCCCCGCGCTCAAGAGCCAGGGAGCCGTTGTCGTTTGTCCCGTGCAGCCGAGAGCCCCAACTGTCGTCTTACCGTCCCCTCTGTAGCTTGTCGTCCTCAGACAGCGCCGTTGTGGACACGAGGTTGTCTACTTAAATGACGCCCCTTTTGTGCTTTCGGAACATGTCATCAGCAGCGCATGATGCGGTGGGAAAAAGCATGATGGGTTCCAACATTTCGGCATTAAAAACTGTTTTAATACGTCTGCAACATTAATGTGAAGACTGTATAAAAGCGTGTCTGCGAGGGCCGACGCTGATTACCATCCTTATTGGGCGGAAGAGGAGGAGTCAGGTACTCGACGCTGATTGGTTAACAGGGACCTCATGTGACCAGAGGGGTAGGGGAGGAGAAGCTCAGCCACCTGTGCGCATTTGGGGGGGAGGAGTTCGAGTGTATGGAAGGCTCTGGAAGATCGCCAGGTTTGTCAGCCCGGTTAGCTGTATAGTATCGCTTCATACTAGGAACAACTGTCAAGTGTGCATATGGTACGCGTTAAACTATTTGATGAAGAACACCGTGGACGTAGGTGTCTGGTGTCTTGTAGCTCAGAGTATCGTCCAACGTTTGTAATGGTAGAACGTTTCATGTATGCAATAAAAATCTCTAGCAAATTGCCATAAATTTTGAAATACGCGCTATCACTGCGGGTCCTCAAAAAACAAGGAACAACAATAGCTAACCGGAAGCAACATACTTCCCCCGGAAGTTCGGCCATGTTTGTTTATGTTTACCTCTTAACATCCTGTGTATGTTGGCAAACCGATTTATACGGTGGCAGTCGTTTCAGAAAGTCATCGATCGCTTTCCTTCACGCTGTAGGCAGTAAACATGTCAACGATACCTTTTTGAGAGTGACTCGATTACGTAGCTTCGCATACGCGGTTTTTGTGTTTATATTTGAATAATAAAAAGCTAAATTCCAGCTGGAATTTTAGTTCTAATTGGTAAACCAGGACGCAAGGCTTAATATTGCTGTATATACTTTCAGTGTAGCAGCAGCTTAGTTTTTCACAATGGCTATAAACGCGCCGGTTTTTAATTCCCCACTTATACAATCTGGGACGTCGCATACCCAATGGATAAAAGTATAAATTGATAAACACGTTGCAGGTCTGGGAGGACGAACAAATCACGTTCTCAGAGCTCCTCAAGATGTTCCAGCGGTACGCCGCTGGGTTCCAGAGACACGGCGTTGATAAAGGCGAAAAGGTTCTGGTTCATCTGGACAACTCTCTGGAAAACATGATCGCAATGTACAGTATCGTGTTTGCTGGGGGAGTTGCTGTGGCGTCTGAAACGATCCTGTCAGACGGTAAGAACAAGTGCCACTCTTTTACAAATTGTATTTTGTAGGAAAGTGAGCAATGTCATCATAACCCACGGCTACACGGTTTAGAAATAATTAAGTGAACGCGAGATTGTGACACAGGCACTCCACGGGAACAAATTACTTAACAATCTTGTGTGGCGTTTGTTCTCCGTATGTTTGTTAACAAGTCAAGAATGTTGATCTTCAGGTGCTGCTCTGGGGGCTCTAAATAATGTTTAACGGCTTTTAAACGCTCGAGACCTGCTCAAGTGCTCTAGAAAGAAACACACTAAAGCGGACATCGGTGAACAAAAAAGAAAAAAAGGGGGGAGGCACACATACTCAGCGTCTTCGTCGCGAAAATGAGGCGCCGAAAAAGAGATAACAGAGTTTGGTTGGGCACAGATAAGCGAGGTAGGCACGTTCTGCCACGACGGAGGGACGAGTGAGGGAACGAGGCTCGTCTCAAAAGACCCTTTTCGACATTCAGTCAAGCAACTTTGATCACTATCACCATCTCTGTGTGTGGCATCGACTGTACCAAACTAATGGTGGCCTTCTTGAGACTGATGAAAATATAAGTTAAAGATCCTACCAAGCGGCGGATATATAACGCTTCGATATATAACCCTCAAGCCGTCAGTACAACATAAGGCACAAATTATATACAACGACTTCGTAAGCTGTTATTTTATAGTGTGGTGCAACCAATTCTTTTGGACAACACTCCTAAATAAAAACTTCCGCAGCCGTTGTGCCTAATTCGTCCGTCGTGTGTATACATAGATCAGTCAGGCCGCTGCACGAACACAAGGTTACGGTATATTGTTGACTCAAATCAAAACCGGCGGAGCATCTTGCAGTGTACGTGCGAGACTGCAACTGCAAACCGATACTAACAGAAGCAAAAGTCTTCAGAAGGTTCCGTGAGACCAAATCAAGTGAACTCTACGAGGCGATGACCATCAAAGAGAAGGAAAACTCTTGTGTCAGTGCACCATCAGTGGCAATAAAGACAAATAACTTCATTGCTTTACTTTTCCTACTTGAGGTTGTTTAAGTAGTTTGCTGTCAACAGCTTCCATTTCCCTTTTTTTCCCCTGGTATTTCTCAATTTTTTTTCCGCGTAACATCCACCTATTTCTTTTTTGGGTTTTCTCTAATAGACCATAATATATTAAGAATTGTTAATATTATTTTAACCATAATGTATAATAAACAATTGTAACTAAGAACAATCAATAGAACCAGACAGATTCACCAAGAAGCTAAGCGGCAATTGAACCCCTGACCATGGAGTTAGCAGCCGGACATCATTGCTCGGCGCCATAAGCAGAAAATAAACGGGAGCGCAAGCAGCTAAACTGAGTATGGCTTTCCAAACAAAGAGCTTATGAACAGAATAGTTGATGAATGCACAGTGAAGAAGTAGGTTTATAACCTAATTAACAATGCGCTGAATCGCGAACAGATTAGCTCGCAAGTTTTCTGCTCACTTTTGTGTCTTCGTGGACACCAACGTTTAGTAAAATTAGTAAACTGGAAAAAAAAAAACTCCCCATAATGACAAAGATTATAAAAAAAAAAAACTTAATATTTACTTGGCAGTTAAAAAAAGTTCTCAATACATATTTTGATATTCTGATCTAGGATGAGTAGGAAATTTCTTCAGTTATCGTCGCGGTAAAAGTACTATCAAGAGCGTTCGACAAAATTGGCCTTGAGGAATAAACTGTTATATAGACATTTTTTTACGGCGTTCATGAAATGAAGGATTTTTTTTACCTTTCCATCTTGACGAGCCGACGCAAATTCCCGGCGACAGGCTGTTGGTTAAAGCCATTTCTTGAATACCGAGATCTTTTTTATCCGGACTCCGGCGAAACAAGGGCACATCTTCGTAGAACCACAGCATGCGGCGTCGGTGCTTGGCGGCAATGAAAAGTAATGTTCCTATGCTTGAATGCACATTTAGAAAAATACCTTATAATCTGGCGTTTGCCTTCCTTAATAGTTGCCAAAAAAATAAATAAAAGGCACAAGAAAAGTGACCTTGGCAAGTTTGGCAAAAGTATCTAAGCGGGTTTACTTTATAAAGCTAAGTAAATAGACGGATCTTTATCTGACTGAGCAGATGCAGATTGCAGATTTCGGCGTCGTAAGCTACTGAAAGTAAATTTCTCTACGTCATCAAGGATGCTGCACACCAAGATTTGCATGCAGGCGGCTTTTTCTCGGCGTTATCTATAGCCAGCCGGCAAAAGCCAGGCGGCGCCAGCAGAGTGAGAGCCCACGGTTATAACCCGTCTCGTTGTAATTTGGCAAATGGTGAACGATAAGCTCCACATTGCGTGCTGACGGCTTCGATATGCGCTACGTATACTAGCCCAAATCACACACAGTGGAGCCTGACGCAGCGAAAAGCCCGATACATCTTCACAGTAAAACTTCACTCCGGTGATACGTAGTCACGTTCCGATTGGTCCGCCATGGCCGTAGCTTCCGCGGTACTGGCGTGTTATGCGATCACGGCTTCCTGGTCTGCCCAGTATTTCTTGCTTCAGACTCTAGGCTAAGCGGCGCAACCAGAATAACAGCTCACGTTTAAACCATGCAGCCGCCAGTCACAAGGATACCCAGTGTTTCTTTTTTCAGTCGCTAGAGAGCGCCAAACCAAACCACATTGCAGGCGTATGCGTTGCGTCCGAGCCTTTGTGTCGAAATAAATAAATTAATTGATGCTGGTTATCTTAAAGAAATACTTCAAAAAAATTTGTAATATTCCCGTCGTGTTCAAAAATGGGCTGAATATGATCCGTAATATCCGTAAATGATGGATGAAGAAAGAACAAACAATTAACACTAGGACAACACAACCACAAGCTGTCTCGGTGTTAATTGTTTATTCTTTCTTCATCCATCACCTGAACCACCACGCTCTTCTCCCAAGCATCCGAAAACGACAATCGCACGTTTTATTTTGCGCTTGATGGCAGTAGTTTTCATTAGAAATTGTCCACTCTGGTTATCGCTCGGAGAGCAGCTAGAGAAGAGCACATGACATCCGGCGCAATCATGACGTGGCCTCTCTCGGGACGAGCAAGGTTGCGGAGAGGCTGCCGTCGACAAGACGCCTGCAAGCAGGGCATCCGGCCGCTGCCTCATATCTGCCCGTGCGGGAAAGTGCGCGCAATTACAAGCTTGCCAAAGCTACGTTCACGCGCACGCTGCAAATGCTTTCACGCATGGGGCACCAGTAAGGTTGTAGTTCGAGAGAGGCATCGCATCTTCCTGGAAATGTCCCTAAACGGACATTGGAAACGAGGCTTTGGCGACAACCACCAGGTGCCACTCGCTAATCGTTCAATCCGTTTTAAAATTTCTTTTCCAGTCTTTTTCAACAATAGACTGGGGTGTCCGATATCATACTTCTTCGTTGAACACATATAAACAAGAAAATAAGCGCTGAAATTTCGTTATAGGATCCCCTTAAATAATTAAAGCATTATAACGGCTGCAGTCGTAGAACCGAGTACGGTATGCAGTTTGTTTAAGTTCCTAAATAGACCGATCAAGCATTTTGTAAAAACTATTATGAACCTCGAACATGTGTGGGTGTGATATAATTCACAAACAAGTCACCTATGCTGACCGGCCACTATCCCTACATTAGATAAATCGCAAAAATGTTCAGTGCATGTCCTTCTCAAATCCTCCCTCTATATAGTGAAAAGCCACTGTTTACGATCTGTTACATATACGAACTTTGATGCTTTCATCAAAATTAGCCCTGCCTTTAATTTCGCAAATTTTGATGCTTTCAGGAAACACGCTGACTAGTTTTTAAAATCTTGAATAGTATCTGAAGCAATCTAATGGAGGCCACATCACGTGAACCCAAGATGGCAGCGCCCATTCGGTGGACGGTGAAAACGCTTTTGGATCATGTGACGTGAGGTCAGGCGACATTAAATGACGGCACCTGACATAAACACAAATTCAGTTTCACCGCTAAATTTAGCGAGAAATGCACGAACGGACGTACAGTTAGACAGACAAAATTCTGAGATTGCGGGTTCCGGAAAAACACTTCATAGTTTAATAAATAAGTTTATTCTAAACTGCCTAAACCTTAAAAAGCTGTATCGCGGCCCTACGCAGAAGCCGAATAGGAAAAGCAGCTGGAAGGACGCTAACCAACTGTGTTTAAATAGCCCGACGTTTCGCGGCCTGCTCGGTACTTCTTCACGGGCGGCTTATTTGGCTGGGTGTTCGTCTTTCTCTTCTTCTCCTTGTCGCTGCCGTTAAAATCGTCTTCTTCTTTTTGTGACTCCTCTAAGTCCATCCCATCCCTCTAGCCGCATGTGCATCCCGTACCTCAGAGGCACCAGCGAAGTTCTCACCCGTGCTCTCAAACATTACGGCATAGCAGTGACACACAAGCCCGTCTCGACCATTGGCCACCATCTTCCTCTTCCATAAGATCGTCATCCAAAAGAAAAACACCCAAGGCCTTGTTTATCGCATCCCTTGGGGGGATCGGTGGCCGAGTGGTCTAGCGCACACCAGCTCGGAGCACGTGGAGCGAAAGCTCGAGTTGCGGTGGAGCGAAAGCTCGAGTTGAGTTGCCCCACCCCTGCCCGTTTCGATCTGGATGAGCATCGTACCGGCGTGCGGTCATGTATCACTACTGCGTGGTGCACGTTAAAGACCCCAGGCTAGCGGCTGTACCGCACTGGCTAAATTGCTCATCTACAGCTGGGAGACTCGTCGCCCCTGTGAGGCAGACCAAGTTCTAGGCTGTATAAACACACACACAACCCAATTTTTTTTTATCGCATCCCTTGCGCCGACTGCAACGCCTCATATGTGGGAAAAACCAAGAGCTTCCCCGAACGTGCACGCAGACACAAATATGACGTAAAAAAGAAGGACGTGCAAGTAAACGCTCTAGCGGATCATGCAGAAAAAAACGACCACGTCATCGACTTCGACAGAAGTTCCGTCCTGGACATCGAAAGAAACTGGAAAAAACGACTCTATTTAGAGCCCTGGCATATCCAGCATACCAAGAACAACCTCCACCGGTCGATCGTTACCCTCCCAAGCAGCTATATTCACGGACTTCGAAGAGTCACAAAAAGAAGAAGACGAGTTTAACAGCAGCGACAAGGAGAAGAAGAGAGGGACGAACACCCAGTCAAATCAGTCACCCGTGGACAAGCGACCGAGCAGTCCGCGAAACGTTGGGCTATTTAAACACGGTTGGTTAGAGCAATTCCAGCTTCTTTTCCTAGTACTCACCTAACCAGGCAGATTTTGCCGAAATGTTTACTTTTCAATCAAGCCGAATAGGCTTATGTAGCGATTTCTCTTTCTTAGTATATGAGATTTGCGACTATAGACACATAAAATAATTAACCAATTATTGTTTCAGAATATCTTCAAAGGTCTTTTTTCTTACCATAGAAGACTCCACCACCCGAGCAAAGCTGGGACGGTCGAGCATTTTATGATCAGTCTTTAGCCGGGGTCACACTTCTTATACGTCATACAGAAGAGAGTCTGCCTACAGATTCGAAAGCGAGTCACCGCGAGATCCGCGCTTTAAATGGCACATGGCAATGAGTTCAAAGATAAAACTTTGCACGCGGCATAGCAATGCATTCGAACTACGGATATTTCGGTAACCCGTTTTTGCAGACTCTCTTTTTTATGATGCATGAGGAGTGTGACCCTGGCTTTAGAGTATTCTATGGTTCTATGGTGGTGGTTAAATATAATCGTTTCTCAGTCTATCTTATTTGTTCTTTTTCAGATGACATTCTTTATATGATTCGTAATAGTAACGCCACCCACATCCTCACCACATCGAGTGAAGCTAGCCGTTTTAGCGGCATGCGGGAAAGGCTGGAGATAAAGGTACGCGTACTCAAGCAAGATCGGGATACAATACAATATTTTACGTCATTATTTTTTCATTGTTCTTTGATTGGGGTGAACAAAGATACGTTTGGAGGGCGCAGAAGATATTGCTGTGCGGCGCTTCACCTTGAGTGGTTAGGAAATGTTGATTATCTCAGAAGAGAGGAGGGAAGATCCTTTGATCTCAAATAGCTGTGGCCGTTTCGTATCTACAGTAGCATATTCGTCGAACGTTTGCAAAAAGCACTAAGCGTAAACGCTCTAACTTTCAATATAAAACATTTAAAGCCGGTTATAACGTTTTGATGTTTACAAAACAGATATGACTCAAATTTGAGCATTCCATCTCTAAAAAAATTGGTTTGTGGGTGTGCTCATACGACCCGAATTAACGCCGCATTCAGACCGGCGACCCAACCGTAACCGCGGTTGCAATACGAACGCGGTCGGTTAAAGGTGCAATACAAATGCACACGCAGATGATGATAAAAACAAGCGGATCCGCTTCGCGATTGCGATTTGAACGCCAGTGTGAATGCAGCCTAAGTCTGCCTTAAGGGGCGACTTGTATCTCAGATGTAGACGAGCTATTTAGCCAGTGCGGTACAACCGCTTGCTTGGCGTCTTTAACGAGCACCACGCAGTAGTGATACGCGACCGCACGCCGGTACGATGCTCATCCAGATCGAATTGGGCAGGAATGGGATTGAATCCAGGATCCCTGGGTTCTACAGCGCGAGCTTTCGATCCATGTGAGCTGGGGCCCTAAACTCGTCAAACACAAAGCTGGGGCCGTAATTTTGCGGAGCACGCCGACTGGACGCCGGCGAACAAAGTGCGAAGACATTGTCGTGATATTCCAAGCGGTGCGCTTCGTGAACTTCGGCCCAACTTTCTGTATGACGAGTTTAGAGCCCCCTGGTGTGCGCTAGCCCACTCGGCCAACAATCCCTCATAATTTGCTCTTGTTTCGGCTCTTGACTGTTTTAGGTAAACGGTGTCTATACTAAAATTCGATGTCGACAAAAATTAAAAAAAGGAACAAAAGAACAATACAATTTTGTCACATGCATTTTTTTTCTAATGTTGTGAGGTACCTTGAATCTTCCGATTCTCTTGTCAAACTATACTCCATCTGACATTAGAAAGGCTACACTGTTAGAAAAACTCCTGTCAAAATATGGGACACATACATGCTAACCTTGTTGCCACAACATGTACTGTATTACCGGACTACAGAACATGTTCCATACTTCTTTAGTACGGGACATGTTGTTGCTGTATGGGCAGCCACAACAAGTTCCATACACCATCATCACGGAACAAGTACTGTATGCTACAGGAAATGTACCATCGTGGCACGCAGCAGCACATGTTCTGTTGCAAGCCATGCCAGAGCATGTACCATTTTTACGAAGTACATTACATGTTCCAATGCGTCCAAAACGACACAGGTGACATTTCGTGTACGTACGGAAAAAGTTCAGTCTTGTTTGTGATAGTACTCGCCCCATTTTATGTTACTGCCGCTATTCATGAGTACATCCGGGCTTTGTATGTCACATGCCAAGCTCCTCCTTGAAAAAGTTGATATGCGACATGCAAAACAGGGATGTCGTGGCAGTTTGCAGGCGCAACTTTATGCACGTCTTTGCAACATAAAATTACCTGCAATGCGCAAATGTTCCCCAAACTTGTATGTATGGAAAATTTGAACTGTCGTATCTAATGCGAGCACTATCCTGAAAACAGAACAATGAATCTGTGACATATATACTCAATAGAACAGCCAGGAACGCATGAGAAAGTGTTCACATGCTACGTCAAGTTTAGAGAGCATTGTACATGTAGTGGCGGGGATAAAGGCAGATAAACATTTGTAAAAAAATCGTTATCAAACTAAGTTCACGCTTGGTCCTTTTGGTTCCAACCCATAGCAACGGACCTATTGCAAAGAAGACTGAACAGTTTGCTGCTTCAAAAATATGTACATTTATTTTTCTTTTAAATGACTAGAGCAGATACACAATAAAAAAAACACAGTTCATGCCGCAAATATTTTGGGGGGCAGCTCAGCCATAAAAAAAAATATCAAAGTGAGCAGTCTCCTAAAAAAATCTGACCAAAAATTATGCTGACATGCTACATCTCGAAAAGAACCATCTTGGCCTATACACCAAATTGTAATATTAACAATAGAAAAGAAAGATTAATCTAAACAAGCACCGAAGTTTCTTTCCACTTCTTTTGGAACTTCGAGAACTCTTGGAGGGCTCCCTGCGCCTTCAGATGCACCAGAGCAACTTTTCTTGACGACTGCCGGGACCCCTCCTGCGGGTTCATTGCCACAAGTCGCCTGAAAAAAAAGATAACATAAATAATGGGTGGGATTTCTTAGAGGAGGATGTATAAGAGAAGCTAAGGAGTTCCTGGCTCCTTATTTAACTTCTCTATCGGTTAGTAATCCAATCTGGACAAATTCTAAACCTCGTCTATAGTATACTTTCAAGCCGAGACACGCCCTTAATTTGGACAGTCCGTGCACACACCATGAGCCTCCAAGTCTGATCCTTGCATCAAGACGAATTGTGATTGTACACAAAAAAAAAAAAAAAAAAAAACGATTCAGCTTACTGACATCAGTTCTCAGTAATAACTGGACACATTTCGGATCTTGTGTCAGCACACAACGCTAAAACATTCTACAACCCGAGACGGAGGCTACAAAGAAGGACGAACACCATCCGTCTCAATTGAAACATTTGTCTTCGAAGCCTCCATCTCGGTTTGTAGAATGTCATATTAACCAGCTCGCCTGTCTAGTAAAGTTGTACCCAACGATATTTCGGTTAAAAAAAGGAATTCACAGTACCAGTAAATGCAATATTACAAAAAAACTTGCCTGAAGTGCTTAAGCAGAATATTCTGGTTATTATTAAAGGGAGGTTATCATTTGAGCCCGTTCTCGTTTCGCCCTTCTCACTTGGCCCTTCTCAAAACAACCATTCTCAAAAAGATCTTCTCTCTTGGACCTGGCGCATTCGGTCCTTTCCCGTTTCGTCCTTCGCATTTCAACCCGCCTCATTTGAGTCCGTTCTCGTTTCGCCCTTTTCCCCTGGCCCTTTTCAAAACAGCCATTCTCAAGAATATCTCGCTTTGACCCGTCGCACTTGACTCGTTCTATACGAAAATCGTTTTTTTTTTTGGGGGGGGGGGGGGGGTTATATTAATAAGTACATTGATATATTTTGTGCGTGCGTGTGTGTGTGTGCCACGCTACAGGTATACTCTCTCTGCCAAGGATTTTAGCAGTGCGTCGAGATCGTCGTGAAAAGCTACTAGCTGACAATAAAACAGACCAAGTATTTATCGCAGCCAGATCACATTCCGAAATGTCACGTTTTTTGGGGTCTCTCGACCTGGGACAATGCCACCACTTCTATATTGCAGTGTCTCTCAAATGGGGGTCGCGAAGGCATCTTAGGGGTCCGCGAAGCCATGTCTTATCAGTCAAGCACGACAATATTAGTTGTCTTTCTTCACGTCATTAAGAAACGTTCCAATTTTTGGGTGAGTACTCTCGTGCGTGTGTCAATGAGATAAGTCTACTTCACACTAGCAATTAGTTATATCCATTTATTAAATCATTATCATGATAGCCTATACCTTTCTATTCCCCTCACCCCGAGCGGGTTCCTCCATCATCTCCGCCTTTCTAGAAGGGGTCCGCGAAACATCAATGGTTGAGAACCACTGCTAATATGTATGCTATTTCTGTTCAAACAAAGTTTCCAAATTAAATGTTCATCACTTTTTTTTTTTCCTTTGCTTAGAGGAAGGGAAGGACGCGTCATTGTACGATTCTCAGTGCGCACCTCTACACATAACATATACCTAATGGTATGTTGGGGGCCCAAGCAAGGTAAGGCTCATCGACAAAGCCGCGAAGGCATAACAACGTTAGAAGCATGCCGAAGTAATGCCATTCGGTCGTAGGGCGAACGGGCAAAATGAGAATGGGCCCAGTTACGAAAAACACGATTCGGATCTTATGAGAAGGTTCAAACGAGAAGGACCAAAGGAGAATAGGACGAAATGTGCAAGGTTCAAATGCGAATGGGACGTTTTGAGATACACCCATTATTAGAATGCTGAACATTCACGTCTTTTTATTCATATTACTTATTCTAACTGATAAGCATAGCCCGGTCACAGGTATATTCGTGTGCCCCTGCCGAACAAGGGCTCATGTATTTGAAGCCGATCGATACTAAGGCGGATTAAAATATAAGTTGCATGCCCCGTAGGATGCACACGTTCTAGTATTGGTTCTATATGACAATGTATCTGAATACCAGATTCATACTGATTCTTTCATTATATTGCAACATAATAATATGACTTACAGAGAAACGGTCCTCCCAAGCAGGTCACGCAGTTACTGCAGCACATCCAATTAATGTGAGCAACGAATATTTTCAAGCGAATTGTGAATAAGGGTGTCTAGAAAGCAGCACGTTAACATCAGGCCTTTGCCTTTCTTAGTTCGAAGTTTCAACAAAAACATGGTACAGCATGTTCCAGGTTGCTGTTGAACGTGCCAAACAAACACAAATGCTAACGCTAATATGCTGCTCTACAGAACATATTTCTTTCCGAATTGCTGCCGAAAGTTAGACACTTTGTTTAATGTAATTGACAATGCCTCAGCAAAAGTGTGACCAAGCTGAATGAAACCTTTAATATCTACATGGGAATACTGCAATACGTTTGAGGAATCGTTATGCGTCTGCTACACCGAGCGTTTTTTTTTTTTTTTTTTTCTTACAGTTTTGTTAAAAAAAAAAGCCATGAAAGCTACACTTATCCGATTTGTGCGAGTGAGTTATACGCCCAGGGGGGATTTGGGGGTGGTTAATCTTCGCGATAAGTCGGCTAATTAATTAAAATTCGTTAATTAACTTTATAATTACTGAAAATAGTCATATGGTTTGAAT